CACAAGTCATAAAAATACCCGCAGTATTTTGTTAAATGTACTTCTGCATGTTGTACCACTACATGACTGTATTTCTTTGCACCCTGACATTTTTGCAGCCATGGTGATGTATTTCCTCCATGTACTGCTCCTAACTAACAGTATGCTACACCCACCAAAGCACAAAGACAACATCATGCCTCCAGCACATTAAAGTGACTCTAGAGTAAGTGACATGAATCCCTCCCCTCTTCCACTGCAGTCTGAAGGTCCTGATGACCTTGTACCATGTGTGCCTGTATCATATGCACAGATTCTTTGCAAGTTGTCATTATGTCTCTAATATCACTAAGACAGATTCCTCCAGGCCTGTATTTGTTGTGCCTGCTGCTCTACATAAGCAAGTAAAACTGATTCATTGTCCAAAAACAAGCCTTTCTTACAGTTGAATGAACCATATTTTTGCAGTCTGTGTTGTAGTTTTCCTTTGACTCTCTCACAGTAACTCCCACAGACTTGTTGGCTCTCGTGCAGCCCCCACAATCATGGCCATGTTTAGTTTTCGCAACCCTTGGCTGCAGGATTTGTCATATGAAAATGTGTATTTTTTAAAGAAATCTGACTGTTAGGTCAGGGTTTGCACAGCTGACGTCCAAATGCATAATTTTATAGCTTCATAGTTTGAAGATTTACATGTTTCTACAGAGCCAGCAAACTTTATGCTTGAGAACTCCCCATAAATCTTGGTTTATTCATTTTATAGAAGTTTACAGCCGAGGAAATCGAATGACCAGAATGCCAGATTGGCCCTCAAAGGCCTCGAGGGCCGTGTTTGGTGGGAATCAAACATTTGAGCAGGAGCAGGACCGCTAACCCTTGTGAAACGTCTGGGGTGTGCGTTGTGCATGGCTCAGTGAGTAGCTTTTTGTTGTTTCCTGATAGCTCTGTGCAGTAGGTCGGACTCTGACCCTGGCTACTGTGGGTGGGGAGAGTGGATAGACTGGGATGAATGGAGTTTATTCTTCTTTCCTCAACTCCTGATTTGTGACCATGAAGTGGAGGGCATGAGAAATATGAAGATGCTCCAAGCTGGTACAACACAAATCATTTCCCCTTTTTATGAATTCAGCAGCCCACAGAAATCCACTGGTCAAAAAAGCCGAAAACATAACAGTATGACGTTTGATAGTAATAAACATGGGGGCTTCTGATGTGAGTGTGGATTAACGGAGGCCTGCTGATGTGTAAATGAGCGTCTAATGGAATATCTTAAAAACAGGTTGGTCTGGACGCTCTGACGCACTCCTCCATTAATAAATGATTGATAAAGTCATAAATGACAGACTCATAGATAAGCCATAGGTTGAACCTCCTTTTTATAAGGTAGTGTGATAACAAGAACACCTTTCTGTGCAGTCCTCTTTCATTGAACCAGACCAGTTGAGAAGTAACAGATTTTGATATCTTCTAAAGTATACAGTGGCCATGAGTACAACTTTTGAGGTATTTGTGGTTTACTTGAGTACTTCACTTTCGGCGTCTTTATACTCCTGCTCCACTACATTTCAAGGGACATTTTATACTTTTTATTTGAGTTGTGTACTGTTTCTTTTGCAGCTGTTGCACCAGCCTACCTCCATATAAACTTTCCTAAACACACACCAATTTGTTGCAAGTTGTGAACTTACTGAGGTGAGATGAGGCGAGGCAGTAACCACCAAACGAGCAGTGGCGTATGATGTGTGTTGTCATCACAGGGTTAGTTGCCATTTTCTGTTGTACTGGTTAAATGACCACAGCACAAGTCGGTGTCCATTCTACTCTCATTGTATTTCTATGGGTTCATCATATTTCATTCCTTGATTTCTTGACTTGTAAAGATAGTTAGAGTGATTAAAAAAGTTCTTAAGGGTGCCAAGCAATGTATATTATTTGGAAAAAGTAGGCTGGAGTCTGACACAGGAGCTAAGCAATGTACCGCTGTGGATGGGGGTCAGCAACAACATGTATTTTAGCCTCCTAAAAAAAGTTCCACCTAAAAAAATCAATATCAGTTCAAGTGTACATTACACTGAGGGTATTTTCACTGCTTTACCTTTCTGTCAGACAGCTATTTACGACAGGAAAACCATTAATGGGTTCAGTTCCACCAGACTCAATTCACCAAACAGAAATTTTAGCTGAATGAACACAGGAGCTGCTGGTCTGCTGCTGCTTCGATCAATTAGTTTGTTTGTGTTATTGTGTGTCTTTGGTGAATCCAAACTCATCCCTTTAAACGCCAAAGTCACACAGTAACATGAACTGTTCAAGGCAGCAGTAGACCAGCAGCTCCTGTGTGCAGTGAGGTAAAATTACTGTTTTTATCAGTGGGGTGTTGCTTTGAAGAGAGCGATATAACAGCTTAATTTTCCCATCGGAAATCTCTGTCTAACATTAAGGTAAAGCAGTGAAAATACTCTCAATATAGTGTACACTTAAACTAGATTGCTTAGCTTCCATGTCAGACTATATCTCTACTGTTATATATTGTCTGTGGATAAATAGCTCACACAAGCCCACTTCAGAATAACTCTTTAGCCCCTAACCAGTGGTTCCTTGTGGCTTTGACATAAAGTCACATGGAAATGAATAACCATTATTTATTTATTTACATTTTAATTGTCATTAAGTGTCAGTGTCAGTGACAAAAATGTGTAGTCTACACATTGAATTTTTTTTTTTTAAACATTTCGTCAACTAAAATGTACATCTACAGCCTGGTGCCTTTTCCTCTGAAATATGCCAAACCTCGATAGCATTGGCTAGTCTTGAGTCTCCCTAATGGATTCCAACTTTTTAAAAAAGGACAAGTCTTGGAGACAAGTAGCAGTGCCCCCCCAGCAGGACAATTCACCACGCCACACCACAAAATTGCTCAGGAATGGCCCAGGGCACGTGACTGACAGCTCAAGGCGTCAACCTGGCCTCCAAATTCCCCAGATCCCAATCCGATTGAAGCTCCATTGGGCATGCCGGTACCTTACCTCCCAACCCACAGGACTCAAAGGATCTGTCCACTATGCCAACACAGGAAACCCCCAGAGGTCCTGTCTCCATGCCTCGACAGGTCAGAGGCCCCACCATAGATCGGACTGGGCTCTCATAGATTGGACCTCTGGGGCACCGATTTGTCCCACAGATGCTTGATCATTTTGGGAACTGGGGAATTTGAAAGCGAGGTTGATGCCCTGAGCTCTTTGTCACATTCCTTGGACCATTCCTGAGCAGTTTTTGCAGTGTGGCGGGGTACTTGGTATCACAGTGTTTAGATGGGTGGAGTAGGTAAGGTAAGTGGTATCAGAATCAGAATCAGAATCAGAATCAGAAATACTTTATTGATCCCCGAGGGGAAATTATTTATGTTACAGGTGCTCCTTGCAAGAGAGGAAAGATACATGAAAATATAAGAAATTTAAACAATAGTATTAACAAATATATAGTTAAATAAACAGGAATTATTAACAAACATAAACGTAAATAAATATATATATA